TGTTTGCATATATAAAATTTAAATAACTTCATTTTTTTGTAGGTCATTTTTTTACATAAATAAAATTTGATACATTCGCATTGAATCTATGTTTTTTCTTTTCTTTAAAAATATCAACATCAGATCCAAAAGCGGTGGAGAGATGCGTTTTCTGGTCGTGTATTGTATAATTACACGTGTAGCTGTTATCAAATAAGTATGAAGAGAAAATCGTGAGTTGCTCGCGTGCAATTGTAATTGACGTGTAATTTTTGTTCCTTTTGTGAAATTTTTATAAAAAAAATACAACAAATCGACGGCTTTTCGATAAGTTAAAAATATACATATATTGCGTTGGCCGTCGATTAAAAAACAATTAAATACAGAACTCGTCTATCGCGTGCTCGGCCGTCGACAAAGCGGCAGCGCATGCCCGTTGCCCACGCAATGCATACATATAATTATTACTCTAGGATCATTATTACTATTATCATGTGTACAGGAATAGGCCTATTATACAGGCAAATACCGCCAGCACCCGTCACTTAAAAAAAAAACAAGAACATTATACCTGGAATTACAATGCAATAACATATAATACCTACATATTATGTAAATCAATGCGATTAGTTTTCTATTTTTCTGTCGATAATTTAGTGTTTTCCTTTTTGCTCAGTCAGACAGCATCCATCGAGAAAACGTTTATAATATATTATGTATGAATTTGGATTTCTAAGTGGGCTCATCAGTTAGCCCTGTCAAGCGTTGATGGGGCTAAAGCGAGGCGACGCCCTCTTACCACAGCTGCTATGGTTAAAAAAAAAATTAGTATATTCGATTTTGCAGATGACTCGAATACAATATTGGTAAAGATAAAGAGAGTATAGCTTAGAAGATACTTCAACTCAGGAATTCCTAAGATAACTAATCATGTGAAAGCGCAGAGAATCCAATGGCCAGACTAGGTGAACCTAAATGTTAATCCGGTGAACCGAATGAATGGAAACCAACAGGGGAGAGACCAACAAACGATGGACGGATGAAGTAAAGTAAGACCTGAACAAGTTAGGAACACTAAATTGACAAGAAATAGAGTGTAGTGAACGGTAGAGAAGAGCGGAAAGCAGTGGTGGCAAAAACTCTTGTAGAGTTGTAAAGCCAGGAAGAAGATGTTGAAGAAAATGCTCAGTAGCATTCCAACGTTTGAGTTTCTAACCATATTGAACACCCTGTACTACAAAAATTCGAATGATAATTTAAAGAACTGTCGAATAGATAAATTTAGATTCGATTAGTGCAATATCAATAGGTATACAGTTGCAAAATAGTAAAAAAAGTTGTGGTTAAAGTCCGGCGTATTATATAGGTAAGTCTTTTGTAAATCTGTATACTGTTATATATATACTGTGATAGCTAAGTGCACAACCAAGTTATACTTATATACACATAGGTAGACCCACTTGGCTCTGGGGCATATTATAATACCCGTCAGAGCCGCCCATCGCATTTATTACACTTGAACCGCTGCACCGTGTGTGTGTTTAATTGTGCATAACTACACATTATATACTAGGCAGGTACGTCCTATGTATGTGCTCGGCGTGTGCTAAGGTCTAAGTGCGTGTGTACACTATAATATATACATATATAGTGTTGTATGTTATTCGTTTTTAAATGGTAAACGACCAGATATAGTTGGGAGACGGGGGCGATTCGTTATTGTCAGTGGCAAACAATAACGGGCATGCCCGCCCTATCGTTCGGTTATAATATAATAAATGTATGATCTTCACGATCAAAGTAGATCCCGAAAATATGAGTATATTTTTCAAAATCCAAGTTCATCAAAACACACCGCTATAGAGTATTGATGAATGTTGTGCGTGAAACTTCCATGCCTAAGTCTGAAAAATCATTTCTCCTCAATCTATACACGAATTATAATAATAATAATTGTGATTTTATTATAATGATACAGTTTGGGCATTAGTTACACGCGACGATACCGGGCGATCTCATGACGACCACTCCTCCTCCTTTTGACATGCAAAGATGTCTATATAGACACCTCGAATTGGTACCCAGAGATCTCGCATAACGATCATGCAGCTTGGATAATAATTGGCCCGATGAATATATTATATATATATATATATATATACATACATATATTAAAGTCAATAATACCAATTTTTAATTGTATGTCACGCGCACGTTGCACTTGTTCGGCTTCGTGGTATGTTTTTTAATCGGATAACATCAAAATATTAATAATATGTGTCTTTACTGTAATGGAATGAAAGTACTACAATAGTGGCAGATCAGAGACTGACAACAACCTAACGGAACTGAGACCTACTTAACCGAATAAAGTCCAACTGTTCAATACATAATATTTCTCCCTGTCTGAATTGAAGCATTCAGTGAAAAATAACATATTTAAATGTAAAATCGATAATTTTTTATCTAAAAAGTTATATATTACCTAAAATTGTTTGTAACCGTTGAAACTTAGTTTTTGGCTAATTTTTATAATAAAATTTAAAAAACTAAACTGAATTGGACTCGCCTACACAATAATATTATAGACTGTATTGAATTAAGTTTGAAATAAGCTTTCTAGTCAAAAATGTTCTTATTAATTTCCCATCACGGATAATAAAGCAACGACCGTATTTGTTCATTTTTTAACAAATATGGTCTTATAACGAAAAATGTGCAACGTTATGTGTTCGATTTGTGTCGTTAAAAAATAAAAAACCCATTTTATAAACGATCGTAAACTCTCGAAGGCCAAGGTCTTCCGGGTAGAGCGTTATTGGGCTACTTATATGATATTATAGTCCATTAAAAAAGTCCTGCGATGATTCATCGGTGCCTTTCGACAGAGTTTTCCCTTTAAGTATATAGGGTTTTATTTTTAGCCTCGGTGGAATTTTTTCCAATAACCATTAGCCAACGCCAAAACCATAACGCCACGGTCTGCGGCAAATTAATTGTTGCACAAGAATTAATGATAACCGGCAACACTACATGTCGTTGGTTATTTATTACAATATAAAGTATAAAATGTACATGATTTTGTTCTAATTGACCATGTTTTACATATTTTTACTTAACCTAACCTAACCGCTTCGGGTCGTTATGAAACTGAATTTCACACACACAGTTGTACTCAAACGTTTAGTTAAACACATACACACTCGTATGACAAGTGTGTGTATAGTATTATATTTTACTATGCATAAAAAGTCCTAAAGAAAGTGCTGTCGGTCGAACCAGATGCTTGGAAAATGTTCGATCCGTTGAAAGTATGAATTTGAAATTGGCAAAAAGATTTTTGAGCCGAATATAGTCCAAACGTGCCCGACGATTGAATAGACATTTCACAATCAAGCACAATATGTACCGGTTGTATTTGTGTTGTAAACAGGTGTATATATAGATACCTACTTAACGTGTCCACACATTACACAATCCAAAACCGATTAACGACTTTCGATTTTTCACAATATATACAAATATCGTTTACAATAGAAGGCGGCATAAAGAGATTCCGTTCACTTTCTTAATAATTATTCGAACAATTTCGTAATCGGTGATTTTTTTTTCTATAATGTTTATTTAGTATTTTAAAAATTACAAAAAATAAACGATTTTCCAGACTAATCTTAGCTTAGCCATTCAAATAGGTATTATTCATTGTGGCCAATTTTAGTTACAATCAGTTCTTAGTAAACGCTATATAACGTCCACAATGTAATGTAGTGCGAAAAAAAAGAGTCCTAAATAAGCATAATAATGCATATATAAATATATTAATGATCATTTTTTGTTCATCTCAAACAAAGTATTCAACATTTTATGTCTTTGTATAAAAACTATAATATGTAGATTTTTCACCTAATAATTAATGGATGTATATAATTCTGCGAGTACTGTATTTTAAAATCGATGACAATAAAGTCGATCTTGGTATAATGTATTGATATTCGGGAACGGTTCAATGCAAAATCATTGGTCAATGTCTTTCCAAATTTACAGAAGTAGTTGTTCCTCAGAAAGAGCCTTTTGGAAATTAGCTCGCACGTGTAACAAATATAGAACAACTGCTAATCAGAAGAATTTGAATTGCTATATGATATACATATTATCATCTGAATTATAAATTACAATCAACAGCTGTAACAACTTACTCTCCAAACGTTTGTAAGTAATATAGCAAGAAAGTAATGTTCTTAAAGTAGTGTAAATATTATTTTTAATGGATTTGCCAAAAAGTGATACCTATTTTTGTTTTATATTTCACAATTATTAAAGTCGGTGCTATTAATTTTAAGTTGTTGCAATTTTAGCCCCCAACTCCCAAGAAAGTACCCGGACCGGGTTATCTATTGTATAAATTATCATAGTGAAATATAATCATAGGTGCAACTAGGGGGTGCTAGGGGGACTTTATCACCCCCAAAAATTCATACCCCAATCCGTGATTTGTACTCATAACAATTTAATTATGTACATATACTCTGTAGAATTTTTTTATTTTAGAATATTTTTGTTTTCAGATATATATTTGTTTATATCTAACACGGTTGGAAGATCACAATTATGTTTAGTCGGGTATACAATATAATTTTAACCCCTCCTAAAAATATTATGTAGGTCTAGTTGCGCCTATGAGGATAATATGTAAAAAACAACCAAATCAGAGGAATAAGGTGTCCGAGACTCAAGACACCGTCTCTCTCTTCTAAGATACAGCTGACCTGTGTGAGTTGTGCATAATACGTGAAGTACATAATATTATAGATAAATAATATAGTAATAATATTGTCCTTAAACAGATATCAGAATATTATTATAAAATAGTATGTGTGTGTGGTTATAATACCGAACCGGTTTGGACCAATGAGGCGTGGGCGCTGCCGGTAACCAATGGCGGCAACGAGGCTCCGGCATAGGCCGGCGCGATGAGCCGCGGGCACCGGCAGCAGTGCCCGACCGTCAGTCGACCGCCTATGCCCGTCGCCGTACCATCCGTATGCCGTTAACCCCTGTGATCGCACACACACACACTGTATCGCTGAGGGCCACGTTCCGGGCAATACCCAATATAACAGCACCTAACAGCCGCCGGAAATCTTTTTGACAAAACGATTATTTCAAAAAAAATCATACTTAAACGGTTCGTCGTTTGTTTCTTATCCTCGGGTGTGCAGATTCGAAAATCGCAAAGTGCGCGCGCGTGCCAACCCGCCGCCGACGGAGACACATATGATCGTTACAATAATATTATAATATTATTACATTTATTATTTTGGCTAATTATTATTATTGAGAAGAAAAAAACGCCACCGATGCCGCACCAGCAACGGGCCAACGATAATAATTATCACAACTAAACGGGTAAAGTACCTACATAATACACTATAATTATTATCGTTTTGATTAGGTATACCTATGTTAGGTATGGTGTCTAGTCTCGATAATCAACGAATGACTACTAGAATACCATATTTAAGATACTGTACATCACAAATGGCCGGTTGCACCAACTGTACACTTAAATTTTAAGTAGAGCTTAACCTACAGTTTCAGAGTATTGTTGGTGCAAACGAGGTTCAGTGCGTGTATTTTTTTCCAAATAAAACTATTTAATGTTTACATATTTTACCTAATACTCTACAACGGTAACAAACGTGATACACCTTTAGGGGGAAGTATGCCAATGGTAATATCTATAACCGAGTGCTTCAATCAGGTTATGTGTTGATATAAAGTTTTTGCAAATAACTCAACAAATGTAATTAAAGTTACATCACTCGACAATGTTATTAAAAAAAACTCTGTATCGCCATCACTAAGTAATATGTTAAAACCAATTAAATAACAATGAGAAAAAACAGAAAAAAAATAGTATAATATACTTTATAAGTTATGATCTACACCGACTCATTAACCAACTTGAACCATTTTTTCAAATATATATTTTGTCAGTGAAAAGTATAACATCTTTTTAAGGTATTTATAACAAATTATTTATACATATTTCTACTTTTAGCCAAGATAACATTATTATATTTTACCTAATGTATTTAAAAAAAATGTGTATCTTAATTATTATTGCGGTTAAATTTTTATACAATTTACAACTAACTGTACTTTTTAAAACAATTTTATTAAAAATGTATAATGAAATTAATTAATCTAATATTCTTTTGCTAAACTGATGAAGTCAATAATTCTAACACATTCAGTTTAACAAATAGGTTGTAATACAGAAAATGTTTTCTTTTAAATTCAGCCATTATTTGAATATTTGTTGTTGTTTATCAACTTTAAATTTATTATGCAAATACAATATGAGTTACGCTGTCAATCATAAAATAAGCAATATCAGCCCATAATATACCTTAATACCTATGCCGATGAAAGCCTTAGCAGTTTGGTGGTGATTATCTATATTATCTGTGTGTAATAACTGCAATGAATAAAGTACAATATTTAAAGGTAGCTAATTTCGACCAATATAATATGACTGTCGTTAACGTTTTTAAACCTAAGTTAGCAACCGGTTAGGACTAGACTAACAATGCTACACCATTATATTTAGATGTTTCTCAATTTTAAATACAATAGCGTTGAAAACCCGGCTTGGCTAGTATAATATAACGTCAGTATAGGTACTCTTGAGGTATTTTCTAAACTCTTTAATAATTAGATTACCGACGAAGCAATCATTAACGGCTGTTCGCGTACTATATCAGCTATGTACACAACAATGGAATACCTTACATTTGTAAGTGGATATACCTATACACTTAAACGTCATGTACAATGTGTATACATTAGTTTTATTGGCCGTATACATTTTAATTTGCTTTTAAGAAAGTGCTGTTGTCGGGAAAAAGTGAAACTTATATTTTTGGTATTTCACTCGGTAAGTACCTATTTCGAATTTTTAAACTGCGAATGAGCGCCAGCCGAAATAGATTAGCGTTATCATTATCGTTGGCGAATTAACATCCCACTCTTGCCTTAGTATCAATTAGATAAGAACAAGACTGCAGGGTATCTATATCGGTATTAGTCTGTTCGATTTGGACGTTACAATATTACAATAATTTAACTGAGATGTCGTCGTCAGCTGTAACCGGTAATAATAATAATAATAAAAACAATAATAACTGAGAAGTGACCTACCTAATCATAATAACAAGAAGATTCGTTGAATTCGAGACACGACGCAATGATATATTGAAGATAGCCGGTGTATCGAAAGGGTAAGCATATTATATATACACACGGTCGACGGCTATATTACTGGTAATTACGGGTAATAAAAATACTTTTTTACAGTAGTACATATAATATGCTTAGTATAAAAATACATACACAGGACTAGAACAGAAGCCACGACAGACATACACACATGCAGTGATTATTTAATATAACGTTGCAGCAGCATGTCGCTGTCGTTCGGTTACACCTTGTGTATATATATATAGGTATAGGTAGGTATATCTGGCGCACTTAACCCGCTGTGTGAAGTCAAATTAACTTGGGAAAGAGGGCTTAAAAAGAGTAGTCAGACCTCTATAGGTAGCTGTATAAAGTCAATGGCGCATCGCGTGTCCCCTAAAAAAAACGACCGGGTTTTTTTTATCATTATTATATTATATCGTGGTGATCCGTTAATTCACATGGAACGTCTTATTGTCAATTACACATTATACTGAATTTGTTGCCGAGCCTTTTATTCGACTACGGCTCGTGAGAACCGCGTTGCTAGGTCAGGATGGAAATGGTTGGACGGCACAGGTGTAACAAATACCTGATCTTCGCCACAAGTTTAAATGACTTAAAATTTTCACATAGTTAGGGTCGGGTCTTGAAGGCCGAAACCTACAGGAAGAAGAAAAAGATAAAATATTACAAACTCAACTAACCTTGGACTGTCACAAAAACATGCAAAATACTATCCACCTTTTGAAGTAAAATATATTTAAAAAAAAGGTCGACTTTTGTATAGCCGTTAGGTTGATAGTTTTTTTTTCCACAAAGATTTCGAAATTACCTTTTTTTTGACACATATTTTGTTTTAGAATTAAAAAAAGATATTTTAAACAATACATAGCGAAACCGTTTCACGTTGTGATGTATCTAAATAGTAAATTTATCATAAATTACAAGGCAATTTTTCGATTAGGAGTAGGTACAAGCTGTTGTTAAATCGACATTCTATAACGTCGTTAATCGAGCGTTTAACGAATGTTTAAATGCGTTTTTCTATAATAATAATAATAATAGAAAAATACAGTATTTATATTGTTTACATGTCTGTGATACATCCCAACTGCAGTAGATAAAAATACACAGCTAAAACGTATAAGAAAACTCGGTGGAATGTATTTGCGGTCTAAGAATTGATTGACAATTTAATTCCATCTCTTGCATTTTGCTTGTACAAATAATATTACATTATCTATTCCATACACATAGTACAGACACCGTTATAAGATAAGACGTTTTTACTCAACCCGAGCCTCGTATTAGGTTATAATGTACAGAATAGGTAACATCATACAAAATATGGTGTGGACGACCAGACTGTTGTGATGATGTATATTATAGTTATACGGTCTACAATAGGTACAGCAAAAGAAGCTAATGATATGACACATCATAATGTATAAACACTTATATAGGTATAACTCAAGCTCGTGGTGTGTACACCGTCGTTATGAGGTATTTTATTATGTCCGATTAATTAATAATAATAATAATTACTATTATTATTATTATTATAGCAGTCCGACCGTAATGCGCGATACGGGATAAGTACCACTTTGTCGAGGGGATGAGGTAAAGGAAAGGAAAAAAAAATAGTGATCCTAGCAGTGCCTGATAATATTATATCTTGTGCAGCACATATACAGGTATTATATGTATGTATGTAGGTAGGTTAGGTTCACAACCATATTATTATTATTGTTATTGTTTATTATTATTATTATTACCATAACCGCGGTTTCGGACAAAACAATCATTAAAAAGTCATAAGCGCCCGGACAACTATATATGTACAGATATTATATGTAATATATAGTGCATATATATATATATATATATATATATATATGTGAATAGTAAATACACATATAGTTTATGTACAAAACTTTGCCTGTACCATTTGTCCACACTGTCTCCGGGAATGGACATGAGACTGAGAAAGAAAGGCCCTTTTTTTTTTACACAAAAGGAGGTGTTTTAATATAATATTGTACTTTATTAGACGACGTTTATCAAATGTATAATATAAGAGATCGAAGGATAGTATGCACGAGGGCGACATCTAGATCCTCCCAGACGGCGTCTTGCCAAAGTATTATACTAGTCTGTACTAAAGAAACGCCCGACCTGCAGGAGGCGTGACCGTCCGTCTAATGTGTACCTATACGGCTAGGGTGCTAATTATTATTGCCCACTCGAATATCGTTACACGGTAATCATCGTGCGTTGCTATTTCTTTGCGGGTCAGGTCAGTTTTTTATTGTTACACGATATACAATATATATTTATACCTATTAAGGCACGCCAATTTCAACGGAATTTCGCACCCCCACATAATAGCGCCATCTTGCGCACTAAATGTCTTAGAGGTACAATAATATTGTTAACGAGGAGTTTGGTCCCTTAATCTCGATGGGATACTTTATGCATCTTGTTGTTTAAACGGTGATTTAGGTATTGATAGATAGGTATCGACTTGTGCGGACATTACTTAAGAGACTCACACCGGAAAAAACTTGAGTAACGCAGAAACAATGTTCTCTCTATAGCGTATGGAGAGTTATTTTTGCGGTTAAAGGTTTATTTAATTGCTTGGTCGGCGGGGGTAGCTTATATTGTAAAATTAAGATTTAGCTAAATGTTGATTTTTATCATTTCGATAACTAACCGGCGCACTTGTCCATCGATCACTTTGATTCTATGTTTAATCAAATATCAAATACAAACACAATATTATTATGTAAAATTATATTCTCCCTGCGGCAAACCCGCTGGACAGAAGCTCTATACCGGCTCACCGCAACGTCTTATGATGTAGGTGTATTAATCGAAACGTCCTGATACAATATATATTGTAGAAAAAAATACAATCGGTTTTCTTTTATTAAAAGGGCGTACGTTGGCTGTGTACGATTTGTTTTTTACTCTAAATTTTGGGCGTGTGTTCGTATTACGTCTTGGAATGTGGACCTTAGTAAAAAAAAAAAAAAAAACTGGAATAAGAAAAAATAATAATAATATCTGATGCGCGTTATAAAATAATAATTATTATATAGACACTCGAGCCAACGCGGTTATTGGCTACCGGAGAGAAATTCCAGAATTATCCGGTCAATTATTATTGTGATAAATTCGGTTAAACTTGTTTCTTCTACACTCCGTTCTTAAGCGTGCTTGTGTATATTATGCTCAACACACATAAAGCTGTACGTAAGATATTATTTTATTATTATCTCTCTTGGGCTTAACCGAGCTCGTGTACGCGTAATTCGGTACCCGACCACACGTATATAGGTACTACCGAGAGAGTTAATTAGAAAATAAAAACCATAAAAAAATGAATTAAATAACCGAAAAAGTAGCGCGTGTCCCGCCCCTCGGGCCAAAGCGCGCTCCCCTCGAGGAGAATTGTTTTTCCTTGTATATATTAATCGAACAGGACTAACCGTTTTTTTTGATTTTAAGCGGCCGACGTTTTAATAATAATAAGACAACGTTCTCTATACATATTATGGTCATATCATTTCGAGTATTAATTCCGGCCACCGACTATAATATTTCACTATAAAAACTCTTTTTTTTTATAATACAAGTACAAGCAACGTACGGTGTACGTCTCGAGATACACAAGAACTACTGGATAGACCCCGGAGAGGCTTTGCAGACATTTGTTGGAGCTAAAACCGTCCTGAATTGTGAATTTCTGCTTTGACAATGATCCATACTTAATTGACTTCATACACAGACTCATGTTAATTATTTCTGTATATTTGTCTTACAGGCAAGCTGTGACCGGTAAAGTGACCGTTCTCAAGACGATATTACCACCCCAAGGAGCTCACCCCCCGACGACAGGCTGCAGCGACGACCGCAAAATAATTGACATGACTTTCAGGTGCGTGCCGGCATTCCAGCCGCTGTCGTCCGGCACAGACTGCGCAGCACCGTGGGTGAGTACACCGCCTAAGAGTGATATTAAATTACACTAAGTACAACACTATTAAAAGCAATCTGAAGCGCTAATTTTTCCCATTAAAAAAACTAATCCGAAAAACGTTTCCAAACCGATATTGTGTGCCATTCGCCAGTCGGTCGCCGCAGCATCACCACCCTATGATTATATCGGCCAATATTTTTTTATTATTACCTATACCCACTGCATTTTTGTTGGGTACCTATATTTTTTGCACGCTGCTTACACAGTATACTTAACTCGAGTTTGAGTGCGATGTGTCTTAGTCATACTTACCCGTCTACTACCAGCTACATATATATATATGTTGTATTTACAGCGGCGGTCTTGTGGTTGTAACCTGCAATTATAACTCGGTACATAAGACGGTCAACATAATGCCTTGCACGCAGACCGGAGAAAATAAAACTAAAAGTAAAACTGTTTTACAGTATGACGACTTAGGGTTATACCCCAGTTTTATATAATATAATATGTGTTGCCGAAATATTATAAAGACCTGAAAATTCGAGGAAAGTTTCTAAATAGCAACGCCATTATTGATCAATTGATAAACCCCTTAAATTAATTTTGAAATTTTGTAATTTCAAACCACTTAACGCCCTGCCAATTGCACACACGGAATGATTTGATTTTTGATACCGACATTAATTACTTATAACCAATTATTGGTAAATTAAATTTATTGTGTGATACTTTTTTCTTATTTTTTAAGTGAAAACACAAACCAATGTAATATTATAAATTATATAGTATACAGTTGGTGTATAATACATATAATATAAAAGACATTCGAGTTGCCAGTATATAGTATTAGCTATGTGCTTTGGTAGAGACAGCAGCTGCAGTATTCCCTTCTAAGTCAAATGGACCATATATAAGAATTAGTGCTGCCATCAAGCGGTCAATAGTGTTAGTAAACACTTATTTCAACGTTCCGTTCTAGATGGCGCTTTATGTCCAAATATAAACAGTCGATTTCAAAAACCTACTCTATAAAATATTATGTATATAAGTATACATACTTACTCGATTTTTTTTTACAATATAAATACCCACCGATTTTTTTTTTTAAATTTATAAAAGTTTCAAATTTTACTGAGCGCCTTGGGACAAGCCTGGATTTGAAAAAAATACTCTGTCTTTGAAACTGATATTCAATAATAATTGTTTCTTGTAGTTAAAACATAAAAATATAACACTCTGTCTTGGTAAATTTTTATTTTTTATTTGTTTTAGCAGTGGAAATATGAAAACAATTCACGATTTAGTGACTTACTTTGTAACGAGAGGATGCTTTTTTAAAACTAAAAATTTAAAAACAAATACGAACTGTTCTCGTCTCATTTTTTATCTACAATCAAAACATTTGCTTTTAGCGTCCAATTCAATAAAAAACATATTTTATCAACTTTGAAAATATGTTATCTTTATGTTCCACTCAATTTCAAAATATTGTGGCGACATTAAAGTTTGGTGGACATTTTTCAAAAAATTAGAGGTCTCATTTAAGGCCAAAAACAAACTAAAACCCATGGCTTTTTAATTCATTAAATTTTATTAGTTTTTTTGTACATGACTGTTTATGAAATTAGTAATACCAGTTTTGTCGTAGATTTGTCTTTGTTTGAGAGACAATTAACTTTGACAATTTTAAAAAGTTTGAATTCTCTATCAATCCATTTTATGTGTTAACAACGATTACAAAGTAACCATTGTTATCAACTATTGTAATTGATTGTAAACCGCTTAATATATTATTTATTTTTTACTTCTAGATCTTAAAAATTTGATCGTTTGATTAACCAATATAATTGTGAATACAAAAAAAAACTTTTGGTGGTGTATTTGTATAATAAATTACAATTATAATTATACACACAATATTATGCTTTATCGATATTCCAAAATTATGCGTGGGCACCCTTAGATTTAATTAATACCGTCGGATCATATCATTCGAATTGCTTATGCACATTAAATCATGAAAGATTTCTTTTGAGTATAAGCAGTTAAATAATAATTTACTACTACTTCCATTTAAACAGACACCGCCCGACGTAGGTTGAGTTTGGTTTGGAGAAACATAATATTGTCAATAGAACAACTTATAATTAAAATGCGCCAAGTAATAATTTTCTTTTTCCCAAATAAACCCACGTGAAATAAAAATATGGATAGCGTGTAACAGAAATAATAATACCGTTTGTCTACTTATTAGAAAATACCTCTAGTAAGTATAATATCTAATCTACTTAATTATACTGAACTTCATTCGTTTTAGGACGATCAGTGGTCTAAAAATATATATTTAAAACTTTATTTTTTCAAGTTACAAATATATTATTTATAATAATAATTTTTAATATATCATTTTAAACTATGAAGGCTATTTCCTTAAGAATATGTTAACTTTATTAGGAATGTTTCTCAAGTTGTATAATGTGTAGAAAATTCGGTGTGATTATTTTTTTATTGCTATAAAAAATATTTGTCAAAGTAATTTTTTATTTTATTCAATTATTGATTTAAAAAACTACAAAGTTAACATTGAATCTTAATTACCATTAGCGGAGATCAGGGGGGGCATGGGCTTCTAAAAACCTTAAGAAAACTATAAAACTTAAAATTAGCGCCACATTTAATAATATTTCAACAAATCTCTTACCAAAAATATAAATGTAGGTATTTTGAAAAGCATTAATTGCAAGTTCTTAGTATCCAAAGTCCCCTCCCCTGATCTCCATCAATGGTAGTAACTTTATAAATATCCATAAGTATCCAGAAACTCGTTCTAGATTGCCATCATACTAGCTCTAATCCTATTTGTTTTTATACTACTCAAAGCTTATGCCCGTCAGAACCTATAGTTGTTCTTCTAATAAGTACCTACCCTGTTGATATGTGGTGTAATATTATACCGACAGCGTTGTGTGTATGTGCTCTTCTGATAGGTTTTCTGAATTTCTGGATCATAAATCTTTTTGCTTCCATTGGGTCGGCGTTTGTTGCTGCAACGAGTTAATCAACAATAATCCTGCCGGACGGAACAATGTGGGTACGCCCTTTAGGACTTAGGAGTGCATGAATTATGATCACTGACATCTATCTTGTGCAATCTCTGCAATAGTGGTAGTATATAGTGAATAATAATAATAATAATAACCACAACACGATCATATTATAATAAATGGGGGCAAAAATTATATGCTTGTGTTTCTTCTCGGGTAACGTTTCTATTAAATAAGTACCTCCCAAACGTATGTGGACTTTGTTTTTGTTGAACATCATCATTTGGTGTGTGAACCGATAGAAGCCTTTAGATTTCTTTAAAAATAGTAACAAATTTAATGTTGTACTTAGAAAATAGGTTCACCCGAACGGTATCAATAAATAATAGACAATAATGTAGGTATTAAATTGTCAAGGGTGGCTTGGCGAGAGAAGATAGGATACAAGAAACGAATATAGAAGAAGTATTATAAGGCGTTTGCGTGATATACTATATAAATGCGGTATAATTGAAATTATCTAAATAATCTTAACAATTTAAAACATGCACAGGGTAGCACATTAGTGTGTCAATACTTGAATGTTTAAGTGGAAATATCGGTCACATCAAACGGAATGCGGTTGTATAATATTATTAGCCTCGCGAGAGGATGAACCAAGATGGGTTGTTACATAAATATAATTCGACCAATTTGTATTCCATCCGTAGGACTGGTGACTATTATTATTTTTTTGTTTCGCCTTATTCTGGTCTGACAAGACTCTTTCAAGGATTGTCCTTTCTTTTTTCTTTTTTTTTTTATTGTTTTGACTTGTTTACACAAGCCCAACGTGTATGTAAGTGGCTAGTACAAGTGAAATAATATAAAAAGAAAAAAAATCATTACCTCGAAGGTAGGTTCGGGACTTGCGCTAACGCTTGTAATGGGTATTTTTAATTTGCGTTTACCATCATTAGAGTAGTGCCAACTGCCATTAACTTAGTATTAGCGCGTTTGACATAGATTTTTTCAACAAATATTTTTAATCGTTCGAACGTGCGCCAAGTATTAATCGGCGGCTCGTTTTATAAGCACACACATATGAAAAACTTTAGTAGATGCTATCAAATGCGGATATATTATATACGTATAATATTGAGAAGACGTTTGCAAAATGCTTGATTGACACGCCAAATCCGCTTTCTCCGGTCCGTCTTGCATATGCTAGTACGACAAATTATTATCGTCGACTTTATATTATATGCAATCTCTGTGAAAATACACACAATGGGAGTGTCCACGACAAGAGCCGCACATATTGTTGCCGGAGAGTATACTTTCGCCTGTTTAGCATGTAAGGACTGATAGGGATGAGAAAGAAGAACGTTGACTGTGTTCGATCAATCGTGTGCACGGTGCAGGTACACTCTAGATTATATCTCATATGGGAATTGTTGTGCAAAAAATCCAAAATAAGTCAAGTTCGACGCCGGTCGTTTACCGCAACAAATCAAACGGGATATGAGCTGGGCCAATGGAATATTATTACAATGTACACCGTGCATAGATAGTGTTAAAAATAGGGTTAGGTTTTCAATTAGCAGCTTTGTCTGGTCGGCGCGTTCGGATGAATACACTCAATCAGAATCCGCCAATTTTGTGTTCAGCTATAATACCTATAATATTGAATAGCGTATGCGTGTTGTATGTATTTGATCCGCGATGGCGGCCGCAAACGTCAAGGACTTTGATCGATCGACAGTTCTGAGATACAGAAAAAAAAGCGATCCACGACTTGTAGGATTGGTGGTGGCCTAGTTGGCGGCGGCGGCGGGATTTCGCGCGCCCACTCGGGAGAGTGTCTTAAGGTCATCGGCCAATTTTGACGACCACTGAAGTAAACAGGTGAGCCGCCGAGCTCCCATCTCTGTGTGGTTCCGGCGCCCGGGGTGGAGGAAGAGAATGTGAGCGGCGCGTGCGCGCA